GCGAGTGAAAATATATCTGTGCTAAACTTATACTTAGCCTCCAACTCACACACTGGCGAGTAAAATCTGAGAATTTATTAGCCATTGGCTAATGTTAGACATCATTTAGTCACCAGAGTGAAGATTTAGTCGCATATGCGAGTGATTTACTCGCAATGTAGAGGGTTCAGAGGAGTGAATTTGTGTGCAGAACATTTTCTATTTTACCACCACTTAACCATTTAATACAATATAAAGATTAAAGTGCAGATACAACTAAAATACTAAAGAAAAACATTTAATCACCTTTTAACACTTTGTTAAAAGTTTGTTATTTTGTTGTATATTTATTGTTTATTGTTTTAATTGTATCTGCACTTTAATTTTTATGTTGTATAAAATGTATAGCATACATTATATAGTCTTCTTTGCACATTGTTTGAGGATTATTAGGCTAGATGTGGATGTTGGCATAGCATGTGTTTTAAATATTATCAGATTAATCAAATAAATAATCATGAGCATTCTGAGTATGTAAAGCGTACAGTATGTTTTATTATTATTAATTTAAGCATACAATTGTATTGTTTCCTACACTTTATGTAGCTTGGTCAGTAGGTGCTTTCACACATACTGCCTTTTATGTACATTTATTGACATTTTACACTTTAGCGATCATGTCTGTTGAGAAATACTGGTAAAAGAGAAGCTGTAACATTACAGTTGTAAAACTGTAAAAGTTGTAAAATTACTGTTTTGATGCTTGTGTGAACAAAGCCATACAGTTACTGGTATTGGCATGTACAAAGTGAGGACATGCTGACATGTGAAGTCTGCTTTGATTCATTCATAATGTTTGTACAGAGATGACTGTTTTCAAAAATGCCTGTCACTGGGAAGTAAAAATATCGACAGATATTGGAAAAAAAAAGTGCCTATCCAGGTGAATGAAGAAAACATTACAGTGTTTAAAGGTAATTTTTGATGATTGAAATCACAGATTTTACCGGTATTTGGTTCTGATGTGTGAAAAGTGTCTTTACAAAAAGACATAAATCGAATCTGATACTTATGTGAACAGCAGATGTTATACATTTATGGGAAAAAATGCAATCCAGCAATTTTACAGTGTTTAGCAGGTTAGTTGTGTGAAAAGCATCTAATGATAAATTGACCAAGAGTGTCCAATATAAAGAAATGGAAAAATTCTTACTGACTTTGACACCCAGTCATGAGGCTCTTCTTGAGGGGGCCGCTCACTTATATCTTTTCCTGTTTTTATGTTGTTTTCCTGCATGTTTTTGCATGTTTGTTGAACCTCATGACATTGTTGGTCACACCACTAACTTTAACTTGACTTTAAAAAAATTAAAAAAATTATAATATTTTACCAAAACTGCTTCACTTCTTTCTATGAAATAATAATAATAATAATAATATATTTAAAATAACTACCTAAGTAATAATACTTTACTTTAAAGAATTTAATTCTTTCAGAGATTTTGTACTTTATGTCCCAAAAAACATCAAAATTTATTTTAATTGAGAAATTAAGAACATGTTCATCGTAGAAGATGGCTTGAAAATCACTCAATTTAAGTCATTGTATGTAAGAATTGATTTTTTAATGTATTTTCATATAAATTAATAGATTTGGAGAAAAAAAAATTGTGCCATGTCAGTGACCCACTCTTACACAAGTGAATTGTTTACAAGCAGTCTGACACAATTACACATTTTTTAAATTCATTTGCATTACATTTTCCCAAATGAGTTAACCAGTTTGTATGTATGTATCACTTAACATATAAATTTTTTTAATAATTGTTATTTGAAGCCCTATGTTTTAACACGGTCCATGCTGCTGTTTATATTGGTGCTTATAATTCTATAGAATTATTAATCACAAGCACTTCATTTTTTTAAAAATTTTTTGGTCTGCCAATATGGTCCTCATTATTGACACATTTGAAAAACTTTGGATGTGTATAATTGGATTAGAAAAGCATCTATTGCAAATCTTTCTCTCTTTATTAATTTGGATTTTCCCATGTTTGCTCCCTTAAATAATAATGTGCAGTGTGATGACTCCCATCAAAAGGATTGTTCAGATTTTAATTTTTTTTAATTCACACTTGCAATTAAGACACATCCTCATTTTCATTGATAAGGTGAAAAGCATTAATGAGATTTTGAAAGAAGAAAGTCATATACACCTAGGATGCCTTGAGGGTGAGTACTTCATGGGCTAATTTTCATTTTTGGGTGAACTAACCTTTAACTGCCAATAAATTAATGTAGTATTTGCATTGCTTTTGAAATGCGGCATTACCTTCAAGAGTAGTCTAAAACAAGGCCTAAATGGTTATCATTATTTTCCCTGCCTGTATGTGACATCTGACAGAACATAAAATCATTTTAAAGGCAGAGCAGGTTTTGTCAAAAGGTTATGAAGAGAAACATTTTTGCACTTTTTTTGTTCAGAAAACACCAGGAATGTCTATTGAGAAAGTGAACGTGTCAATTTTTATTGCATGTTTACTTTGATGTTATAAATTAGGCTATTTAACCATTTTGGATCACCATATGTTGATTAGAAAATGTTGATTGCTATGTTACATTAGGTATGTAATAGGGGTGCAAAGGTTCTCGGTAAAAAATCGAACCGTACCGTTCTCCACACACGGTTCGGCATGCACTAGGACCGCGGTTCAACTTAAATCTGACAATGCATCTGTAATATGGTTTGTTAGAGTTCGCCTAATGCATGTTTCTGTTAATGGATACAAATTCTGGCTTCGCAATACATTACAACAAGAGCGATGAGAGAGAAAAAACATCTATACTTGGACAAACCAGTCACTCTTTGTTCAGTGCGAGTGCTGTATACTGGAATAACTGTCATTTATGCCGTCATCACGTGTTGATAGCGCAGGTGAGACCTGAACAGCACACGTCGCTATCTGTGTTTAAACTAAACTCATTTAAACCTTGCCAGTTTAAATATTAAAGTGCCAGAAGACTCGAACTCGCGGTCGCAGTGAGAAGATCTGTGTGTGCGCTCATCCGAAGCTCATGAACCCGCGTCTCAGAACGTGCGCAAATATTAAGCTCTCTTTGAAGTATTGTGCTTGAATGGACAAATTCACACAAAAATTATGTCAAAATGCCCGCTTTGGTGAGTATCCTAGCAGACATAGTCGGCTGAACGTACAGTATCAGTGCACTGGATCAGTGTGTTCTCTTAAAGTGACAGCACTTTCTTAATGTTAATCAAACAGCAACAACACGGAAATCACTCACTGCTCTTGATTGAATAACTTTTGTAACTTTAATAAGGATTAATCTTTAATTTATACAGTCAAATATGCAATGTTATTTTACATTTGATTACTTTATTCAATTTCTGTACTAATGTTACAGAAAACTAAAAAACTAAAAACTAATGTTAGACCTACCTAAAAAACCTGAAAAGCACTGTTTATTTTATCTTTGCTCTGTTGTATTTACTGTTGTATTTATTTGTGCTGTTGCTTGTAGTTAGATTATTTGTTCTTATTTTCTTTGTTTTTATTTGACAATATAGTTTTTTCCCTAAACATAGCACATACCAAACCGTACCGAAACGGTGACTCTAAAACCGTGATACAAACCGAACCGTGAGTAAGTTGAACCGTTGCACCCCTAGTATGTAATGACATCCAGAAGACTGAGAAATATGGTGTCCATATAAAACTACAGTTTACAGTCAGCCAATCTTAATGGAGACCAGCTTTGGTGAACTGCTTAATTCGGAGTCCATTTTCATAGGCTGATGTGTGTGTGATTGTGGACTGATGTTGCAGATTGGGGGTCAAGTGCGATGTGTGGAGAAAGAACTGAAGCACTAGTCAGTGTATCACTATCTGATCTTTTTAAGGATTCTCATGACTTCCTGTTTCTACCGGCTATCCTCCTTTTGCTTATGCTATGATTTATTTTTCTTTTCTTTCTTTCTTTTTTTTTTTTTAATTTGGCAGTTGCCATGGACATCTGTACCAACATGATAAGACTGTAATTGTACCAATATCTGCTCCAGGGTTCAAATAATTTTGAAGACCGTCACATGAACAGTCAAATGGTCCATCTTGAAAATATCTTTGTGATATATTTAGCTAAATCGGCATAGAAAAACGGCTGTCACCGGGCTCTTTTTCACTCCCCCTTTTTTCCTTTTACAATTTTACACCAAATATAATGCTATATGACTACAGTTAATAAAAATGACTTAAGTGTTGGTTAAAAATTGGAAAATATGCATAATGAGTAATATAAATTAACATAGGGATTTACACCTTAATGAAGGGGGCAAATGGTATGGAATTAGTTATTTCCCAAGTGTGTGATGCTTGAGATATTTATTCAAATTGATGTTTTCAAGTGTACTGAATGTGTTATTTGGAAAATATGCGTCATATTTCACTAAAGCATGTCAAGAAGCAAAATCTCAAGATGCCAATATCACTAACATGTAAGAAGGACCTTTTGAATCAATTGTACAATATCATTTACAAAAATGGGAACATTATGCACAACTGAGGCCTTTTCACAGTGCACCATCAAATAAAGAGAAACAAAACATATGAGCTTGCATGTTTGTGGAATTTCAGTTTCCACATGCACATGCAATTCTCATATATGCAGAGTATAAGGAGGCACTGAATCACAGAAAACATCAGCAGAGCTATGTGATCTATGTGTTCATGTTTTTATAGTAATGGTATTTAAAATGAAGTAAAATAAATTATCAAATAAAGAGAAACAAAACATATGAGCTTGCATGTTTGTGGAATTTCAGTTTCCACATGCACATGCAATTCTCATATATGCAGAGTATAAGGAGGCACTGAATCACAGAAAACATCAGCAGAGCTATGTGATCTATGTGTTCATGTGTTTTTATAGTAATGGTATTTAAAATGAAATAAAATAAATTCATTATTGATACAAAACCTACACTATCTGGACCTTTAGAGACCCTCTATGGGTGGTAATTGTATAAGTCTACAACGGGTCTAAGTTGCTAATATGTGTTTATGGCATTTGATTGAATACCAGTACTTGGAAAGCCAATTAGTAGTAATTTGCACAAAAGCAGGAGAAATGTGATTGTTAATAAGCGGTGACTCAGAAGTACCATTTACCATTTGCAATATTCAGAAACACAAATGTCAATGAACAAAATCAACCAAAAAATAAAATGACAAAAATAAAAACCATCCACAGTATGAATCAGATATATCCCAGATCAAACCTTAAAGTCTGCATAATGACAAATGGTAGACTATATATTATAATACAGAGGAGTAGGACTAATTTGACAGCAAAACAAGAACAAGAGCTTCATATAAAGCAGGAACATGCATAACTTTATGATTAGATGGCAAAAGGCCATAAACACGCAATTTAAGCTTCTCTCCAGAAGACTTTCTTGGCACTTTGCCTAAAGAGCGCGGGGTCGTTTCAGGTCAGGCCTGGCGTGTTGTTGTAAAGGAAGTGCAGAGCATTCGACTCGCTGTATTTCACTTCCTTGTTTTTCACGTGCCGGAATCACATTTGAGAAATCAGACACTGACAAGATGGCAAAGCAGTGAAAGGTTGAAGAGTATGTAAAAAAAATAAAATAAAATGTGTAGGTTTTCATGCAAACATATTTTATGCATCTAAAATGCACAAGGAGTCACCATGCACGCTCACTGAGGATCAGTCTGAACAGGTCAGGATGTTTAACACGGCTTGTTGTTTTTTCGCCGCATTTGTTTATGCCATTATTTGTGTGCTTTAGAAACGAATGATAGTTTTGTTTTGAAGTTCTATTTATGTAGGAATTCTGCTTCTCACGTTTTGCATTTGAATGCTTTAAATACTTTCAGCTTGGTGTAAAAGCAAAAGACTTTTTCTGCATACAATCACAAACTCTTTAAAAAAATTGTTTTGCTCCATTAATGTGCATCCTGTCCTCAATTTGTGCATTTGTTGCCCGTTAAAAGGGTTCCCAAAAGCAGTTGCTCTACATTTAGTGAAGCCTTCTATTCAACTCAAAATGAACGCTAGCTAAATAAATGAATAAATAAATGAATGATGAATGCCGTCAGCAGGACGGCACATATTTTGCCATCTCATTCGGCGACCGGTAACAGTCCATTGTTTTAGCTTGCTAAGGAATGTTTGCATTTGCACAAAATCATGACCAAAAAAAAAAAAAAGAAAGAAAGAAAGAAAGAAAAGACAAAAGTGATATTTTATTCATTAGGACTGTCTGTCTTTGTGTATTCTCATGCAGTCTGGTCTGCATTTATATGCTAACATAATTTACTCTTCTAACCTAAGGCAGAGTTTACCATCACCTCGACAGACCTTAACAGAGTGTGTGTGTGTGCAGCCAGTGTTACTAATATTTCATGATGAATGTGTGTGTGTGTGTGTTCATTTCAAATTTACTAAGAAACATGGGGAGCCATTTCAAAATGTAGAGACATTTCTTTGCCTGTTGTTAGGATATAAATCTTTCTCTTGATTTAAATGTCACCTCTTTTTAACAATAAATATAAAAACTGATACAAAACAGTATTTCTTAATATATGTAGTATTTTCCACAAATGGAAACAGCTTTTTACAACTCATGCGCTGTGTAGGTGTTTTTAATGCAAACGGGTTCACGCAATTGGAGCAAAGGTAATTAAATCCTGAGACTGATTGATCATTTAGTTATTTTTTCATCAAGGATGTTTTGATTATATATTATCATCTAATTTTAAATCGCAAGTATGTTTGGTTTTATAGGACTGTTTAGTGATATGAGTATTGTAATTCTGGGATTGGTTATAGAGTAGCTTATACACTGTCAGAAAAATGTGGAAAATGTGTACCTTTAGGGCTACAACAGCTTGTCACTGGGGCAGTACCTTAAAGGGACACTTTTGTACCTTATTACCCCTAAAGGTGCATATTAACAACTTATAGTAGTAATATTTAGCCTTAAGGTACTAATATGCTGCTTTTAGGGGTAAATCAAGAGTATTTTCCCAGTGACAAGATGTTGTAGCCCTAAAGGTACAATTTTTCCACATTTTTGTTACTATTGAACTTGACTAATGGTTTGAATGGAGGATGAAGAATGAATGGGAAAACTAGTTGAAAATGTGTACTTGGTTATCTGGTTGGTTTCACTTACAGGTGTTTGCATCAACCCTGTCAAACAAGTAGTGTTTGAACTATGTTTTTTTTAAGGCAAATACTGATAATTAGAGAGAAGGGTGGACGATGACCAGTATGATGCGCTTACACTCCAAATGAGTTCCAGATGTCTGACAGCACCAGTGAAAATGATTTTATTTATTTATTTTTGTAATTTAATACAGATGTTTTCATTACAAATTATATAGACTAAAAATAACTCGAAGTTCACAATTAATTCATGTTTGATATGTCCCCTCATGTGCTTTAATGACAGCATGCAAAGCGGACGAATTTGAGCAAAGTCTGACGATCCATGTTGTCAGTGTCACAAATTTTCTTAGTGACCTAGTAATTAATGCAGAATCATTTAATGATGTCATAATCCCAAAACGTTTATTACTGTTTATTTTCTAGGTTTATATATCCTATTTTTTCTATGTGTTTTCTGAGTTTTGAACCCCACTGTATTTAGTGCAGTTTATTTACAGTTTATTAAGATTGTCACAAAATAGCTAAATTTGTATAAACACTTATTTTGGATAATCTTTAATTCACTAAAGATATTAGAAATAGAAAATGAAGTAAATAATCAATAGAAAAGGCTACTGTACTGACAATAGGTCAAGCCAATGTAATTCTCACAAGATCGTCCGATTGATCCGTATGGTAATGATTTCTGCATTCAGTGGATTTCCAAAAATATTTAGAAATATGGACCTCACTGTTGCATGTGATAGGTTGCAGCGTGCATGTGTGTGGTAAGGACATTTTGTCATTTTGACCTTGGCTAAAATATGTCACAGCGAGTATCAGTGATTCATTGGGTCTGAATTATTCTTGTCCACAAGTGCTGCCAAAATCTAGACAAGACAGACACTGTCAGTTTCATTTCTTGATTTGTTCCTTTCTTGCTTCCTTTAAGTTATTTTTTTGCGGTTTTTAAGCATACTTTCACTGAGAGTGATATGGCGTTAGGACACTTGCGTGGCAGGCTATTAACACCTATAAACAAACCGTATGGACACCGCAACATCAAAAAGCACTTAGTATTTGGACAGGAAAGCAGGTCAACGTACCATTTGGCATCATTACTATATTTATGTAGGTTTTATACGAATATAGTTTGGTAGCGTTGTAAATAAATTCTCGGCACCACCTCTCTCTCTTATTGTTTCTGCTGTGTGCCATTAAAGACCAGGCTCAGAGGCAAAGGACAATGTGTGAATGCCGAGCATTGTAAGTCACATTTGCATATTTGAGATTTATATTATTCAGATGCTTGACATCCTTTCCCAGAAACACCCCCCCTCCCTCCTTGTCTCTGCCCGACACCCCACCCTCACCTTTTTCTTGCCTTGCCTCTCTGTCTTTGTTTTCCCCCCTTCTCCCCCCATCCCTGATAAAAATGATTTCCAGTCACCGCACGGCATGCTTTATGAGATGGCCGCCTCATTAAAAAGCGTCTCTGATTAACCTGAATTTCAGCTGCTTTCTTACTTTTCCTCTCTGCCTGTTATTATTCTTTCCTTTCGCCTCAGTCGCCCTGTGCTCTTTGTCACTGCAGCAGGGCACGGCCGTCTGAGCGTCTTCCAGACAAACTGACCTCTAGGGACGTATTGACAGTTTGTGTTACTGAGTGACAGACGTATAGAGCCACAGAGCGACAGTGAAGGAACACACAGAAAACCATTCCAGTAGTCTCCCGGCAGTCGTTTTTCTTTTTCTTTTTTGTCATAAAACTCAGAAGATTCCCTTCTAAGATTAGAGATTTTTGGGAGAGGGAAAACAAGGGTTGTGAAGGGGTGGAGGGGGGTGCTTATGTGCAGTTTTTTCCGGAAAAAGGGGGTGGGGAGGGATCTAATTAATTTTGAAGGATCTTCGGCCCCTTTCGTCCAAGGCAGAGAAAGAGGCAGGGCGGGAGACGGAGGGGTGAGCGAGTGGGTGGAGCGAGTCTGAGGGAGAGAATAAGTGAGACAGGGGAAGGCGGGGGGGACAGACAGACCCCTGGACTGATTAGAATTCTGGGCAGGTAGCAGGCGGCTGCTGTGCACCCACTGTGGCCAGGCAGAAAGGAGGGGAATGGCTGCCCGCCCACCTGCCCGTGTGTGTGTGTGTTTGGGGTGATCTCTGGGAGCAATTCTTGACGTTCAGGTTCCTTGCACTTTTGTTACCTAATTTCCCCCCCGATCACTCCGATATTTCAGCAGTGTTTATGAGAGAAATTACAAAACTCATCTCAGATCTCCAGTGTGTCCCAGAATTATAGAAACGGTGTCACTGCATCAATATAGCACCACAGTAGGTTCCCAAAGTAAAGTGCCATTCATTTTAAAATGTCTGTAAAATACTTTCTTCTATCCGTGCTTAATATGCTGAGACAACTACGAACGCTGTGGCTCTGTGATGCCTTTAAAACATTGTTTAATTTATTTGAATCACCCTACCTGTCTGGCATAGAAACATGGCATATCCAGTGCCATGAGTTTAAGGCTGGACTCTCTAGGCAGACAAGGGGGGCTGTTCAGGAAACCTGTAAGAAAACAGTCATTATTTTTTTAAGTTCCGTTATGTTTAACTCATTGAACATAATGTATAATCTAATGTAACAAGAACATCTGACCCTTTTGTAAGTAAAAAACGAAATAAATAAAATGTCAGTGAAAGCAAATTATATTATTGAGTCGACCTTGCTAGACTCTCAAAGTGCTCTGTTTTTCCTGTGTATCTAAATATTTTGCTATACCTTCGTGAAAAATGCACCCCACATGAAAAAATACTATAGTAATTTATAGTAAATAGTGTTTTTGAACCATACTGTACTATAGTAAAGTGTATAATACTGTATATATTATAGTATTTACAACACTTTGTTAATGAATGCTACAGCATACTGAAGTATTTACTATAGTGAACAGATAAACTGTAATAAATACTGTAGGATACTTTAGATTTTTTT